AGCCACCCGCCTTCCCGACACTGATTTTTCTGGCAGGCTAAAGACTTCACCCACTCGGTTATAAGTATTTTGATTCCTGATGTCAGATTTGTGTCCATTAATTATTTTGCGTAGAGACTGTCCGGTTTGGCCAATGTACATGGCAGAGGGGCATTGCTGGCACATGATGGCATATATCACATTGGTAGATGTGCAGGTGAACGAGCCCCTGATGGTATGGCTAATCCAGACACTTTATAATCTGCACAATTCTCCTCACTTGAAAGCAAAGATATAACAGCAGCAACAGTGCAGAAGTGAGAGCTCATATTACTGAGGCTTCATGGCTTGTATAATACATCCAGTGGCACATTATGAAGTGTGAAAATCATTAAAACTATTTGACAGTGGTCAAATGAAAGGAACAAAAGCCATTTTGTGATGCAGTGTTCATGCTTTTTCTTTAGCTATATTTGTCCAGTAAATTGCAGAATTCTACCATCACAATGGGTCTCACAGCCATCATTGCAAATTACTGTGAGTCTCCTGCATTGGCAGAAGCTATATAATTGCTTTCTAAGCTGAATATGAGCAACAGCTATTAGTTCAGGTTCCAAGAAACTGAGGGTAGGAGGGGGGGAGGATAAAACAGGAATCAAGACAATCCTTGAATTGCATTCTTTCTGATCTGCAGTTCTCTTTTCAAAGTTATCACTGAGGAGTGTTGAAGTATGACAGCTAGAAAAAAAATCCCTCTGCTTTATTAATTCACAACTGCTGCCTTAGCCTTGACCCAAGGATATTTGAGAATGGCAGTGTCACCAGCAGCAAGGGCAGGAAGGTGCTATAACCAGCAGCTTCTGGTTTCTCAGGAAGCCTGTCCCTGTGGAAGAGCATTGGAGAAGGGCACGTTCTGTAGAAGTTCAGCCAAATAACATAGAATAGCTTAGCTTGGTCCCCAGCGACAGGTCTCTAAAATAGGGAAAGATGATGATCACCAAAGAGAGAACTTCTTCACAAACTCAGTGTGCTGTGGGGAAACAAAGCCAACACCCATGGGCCAAGCTATCCAGAGGTTCTGTGAGAATAGGATTTTTGGCATCCCCTAAACTATGCAGAGTCTGGAATTATTTCTGTTGCCAGTTTTGCATGGCACTTGGGAAGGGGCTATCAATGCATCTGGGCCTGTCACATGCAGTCAGGAAGGGAGCTGTCATTGAAGTCAGGCCTGCCCAGGTTGGATGGTATGGCGTTCAGATAGTGCAGTGATGAGTGTGGCACAGAAGCATAGATAGATAGATAGGAAGGAATTGTCAGTGAACTCAGAGCTGACAAAGAAAGGAGCTCTCTGAGAAAGTGGGGTGCCAAGATTAAAATAGAAAAACATTGCATTAGCATACAAGAAATATGATTAGTGTTGTGGCTCACAGCAAAGACTGTTTGGATGGGATGTAGATACAGATGCTCCTGGGTTACACAAACCCGACTTGCGGAAATCCGGAGTCACGGAAAAAGTTCATTAAGTTCCGTAAGCTTTTTTTGTGTGTGCGTAATTGTTGGAGATATGTTCCCGACTTACGCAAAATCTGACTTACGCAAGGCATTCCCTAATGGAACACTTGCATAAGTCGGGGAGCTTCTGTACTAGGAAATGTTTGTGCAGATAAAGGGGGAGGCCTACAAAAAAGTCCAGTGCTGTGCTCATAGGGGATTTCAATGATTAGATACTGATTAGGAAAACCATTGTAGGAACCCTACAGCAGGATGCATACCCATGGAGATAGTACCAGATTGCTTCTATATACCAGCACACTTTGTAATGAAGTGACAACCAAGCCAGAGACTAATCTGGGCCTAATAAGTGGAAATGAGCCAAGCATGATAAATGAATGGTGGTTCACAGGGACATAGGAATTGCCATACTGGGTCAGGCTGATGGTCAGTCCAGTCTTATATCCTGTTTCTTGCAGTGGCCAATGTTGGATGCTTCATAGGAAGGGTTAAAACGGCAATAGTGCATCTAATGATCAGCTTATGCCCTGAGGTATGAGAATTGATAGTCCTGCTAACTATACCCTAACTATAAACAGCTGATTATTATGAACCTCTAGTCCTTTACTTGTCTGATTAAAACCTTACTTAATTACAGTATTTGTCTCATTAATATCGTGCAGCAGTAGATTCCGCACACTAATTAAACATTGCATAGGTAGGTTTCAGAGTGGTAGCCGTGTTAGTCTGTATCAGCAAAAAGAAGGAGGAGTACTTGTGGCACATTAGAGACTAACAAATGTATTTGAGCATAAGCTTTCGTGGGCTAAAACCCACTTCATCGGATGCATACAGTGGAAAATACAGTAGGAAGATATATATTCACAGAGAACATGAACAAATGGGTGTTGCCATACTAACTATAACGAGAGTAATCAGTTAAGGTGAGCTATTATCAGCAGGAGAAAAACAACTTATGTAGTGATAATCAGGATGGCCCATTTCCAACAGCATGGGGAAATAGTTTTTACATTGTGTAATGACCCATCCACTCCCAGTCTTTATTCAAGCCTAATTTAATGGTGTCCAGTTTGCAAATTAATTCCAATTCTGCAGTTTCTCATTGGAGTCTGTTTTTGAAATTTTTGTTGGAGTATTGCGACTTTGAGGTCTGTAATCGAGTGACCAGGGAGGTTGAAATGTTCTCCAATTGGTTTTTGAATGTTATAGTTCTTGATGTCTGATATGTATCCATTTATTCTTTTGCGTAGAGACTGGGCAATGTACATGGCAGAGGGGCATTGCTGGCACATGATGGCATATATTACATTGGTAGATGTGCAGGTGAATGAGCCTCTGACAGTGTGGCTGATGTGATTAGGTCCTATGATGGTGTCCCCTGAATAGATATGTGGACAGAGTTGGCAACAGGCTTTGTTGCAAGGATAGGTTCCTGGGTTAGTGTTTTTGTTGTGTGGTGTGTGGTTGCTGGTGAGTATTATCACTACAAACGTTTTTTTTCTCCTGCTGATAATAGCCCACCTTAATTGATTACTCTCGTTATAGTTAGTATGGCAACATCCATTTTTTCATGTCCTCTGTGTATATATATCTTCCTACTGTATTTTCCACTGCATGCATCCGATGAAGTGGGTTTTAGCCCATGAAAGCTTATGCTCAGATAAATTTGTTAGTCTCTAAGGTGCCACAAGTACTCCTCGTTCTTATTGCATAAGTAGTATTTCCTTGTAGCCAGTTCCTGTTTAACTTGAGTAGCCTTTTGCTCTTGCTTTATAAGGCAAGGTAAATTGGTGTGCCTGGCTGACTTGCTCTGCACTGTTCGTTATTTTATATTATAAATGCACCATTCTCATAGTTCCTCTTAATCTTCTCCTTTGTCAAGTAAACATCCTAGTGTTTTTTAATGTCCTCTGCATATGGAAGCTCTTGATATGTTTAATCACTTTTATTGCTGTTCCCTGGTCCTTTTTTATATCTACTGTGGCTTGAGACAAGATGTAGAAAACTGAATGCAGCCTGTACCAGGTGTATTAAATGGCCTTAGAATATTTTTCATAATATTCTCTGTCCCTTTCCTAATACATTATACAATCTTATTTGTTTTTTATTGTTTGTTTGTTCTACCATTGCTATACTTTGAGCCAATATTTTTGTTCAGCTGTTCTCGGTGATGCCAAGAACTTTCTTTAAAGCTGCAGGTAATTTAGAACTCATCAATGGTTACACTGTCGTAGACTCATAGAGTCATAGACTTTAAGGTCAGAAGGGACCATCATGATTGTCTAGACTGACCTCCTGCACAACGCAGGCCGCAGAATCCCACCCACCCACTCCTGTAACAAACCCCTAACCTATGCCTGAGTTATTGAAATCCTCAAATCGTGGTTTACAGACCTCAAGGTGCAGAGAATCCTCCAGCAAGTGACCCATGCCCCACGCTGCAGAGGAAGGCGAAAAACCTCCAGGGCCTCTGCCAATCTGCCCTGGAGGAAAATTCCTTCCCGACCCCAAATATGGCGATCAGCTAAACCCTGAGCATGTGGGCAAGACTCACCAGCCAGCACCCAGGAAAGAATTCTCTGTAGTAACTCAGATCCCACCCCATCTAACATCCCATCACAGTAGGGCTACCATATGTCCGGATTTCCCCGGACGTGTCCGGCTTTTCGATCTATAAATAGCCGTCTGGGGGGGATTTCTAAAAATCTAAAAATGTCCGAGATTTCCCCCGGGTCGGCTATTTATAGATCGAAAAGCGGCGCTGCTCGGCATCCAAGACCCCTTCTC